GCTCCTGCTGGTGTGTGCACTTCCAGGCAAGCATGGGGGGGCATGTGCCCCCCCGGATCAGTGCGCGGGGGTGAGGGCGGGCTGCCACTGCGGGCTTGCCCTGAGTGGCAAACATCCTTGCCACCATGCTGCTTAGAGTCATAGAAGATGAGGTTGAAGGAACCTGAGGAGGTCATCTAGTCCAACTCTCTGCTCAAAGCAGGCCCAGCCCCAACTAGATAATCCCAGCCAAGGATTTGTCTAGCCGGGTCTTAAAAGCCTTCAAGGATGGGGATTTCACCACCTCTCTGGGTAATTCCTTCCAGTGCTTCACCACCCTCCACATGAGAGTTTTTCCTAATATCGGACCTAAACCTCCCTTGCTGCAACTTGAGACCTGTTGCTCCTTGTTCTCTCATCTGTCACCACTGAGAACAGTCTAGCTCCATCCTCTTTGGAAACACCCTCCAGTTAGCTAAAGGCTTCAGGGGCACAGACAGGCAACAAGGACATCCCAGGATCCCACACAAGCATAGGTACAACAGAGGCTTCAACATATTCACACCTGCTGGAGTGGGGATGCCCACAGGCAACCTAGCCAGCAAAACCCATGGATGGAGGTGCCCAGAAGACTGAGCAAGGGCTTTCTGAGGCTTACATTTAGGTACCTCACTTCTGTCTATGCTCTTTTTGGGGCATGGTGTGTAGATGTGACTGGCTGGGCCTGTCCTCTGGCGGCCCACCTAGACTAAAACGAGGTGGTGATGGCTAGCCCCAGGCAAGCTGCCTGCTGAATTGCCAGACCCCTAGGCAAGGAGGCTGGAAGGGGGCCGGAGGGCTGTCTGCTCAAGCCCTGCTCTCAGCCCCAACAAATTCACCCAGAGGGCGCTGGGACGGGCCCGGGCTGGGGTCTTTCCTTGTGTCGCTCGGGGACCAGCCGCACCAGCCCCACGCCCACGTGCGGCTCAGGGCGCTGCGCTGGCAGGGACCTGCTTGCCCTGCTCCCCCCTTGAGCGGGGGTTTCTTAGCAGCCCCCTGCTCCCCCCCGCAAAGCAGCTGAGTGCAGCAGGGCGGGAGCGCCGAGACTCGCAG